CGACGCTGTATATTACAGTCAGACAATATGCGGCAAGAAAAAGAACAGCAAATTTATGAATGCGAGTTGAACACGACGCAGAAGCGTATTTAACGATTCATGGAACGTTTTTGTTCCTATTTCTGAAGTTTAATTTCTGTACGGGTCCTTCGTCGATAAAAGGTTTCGATATAGAATGTATTTTATATATATTATATATATATATATATATATATATATATTCGCGGGCAAAGTGCAATAAAATTCATATTATCAAATTTATTAATACTTTTGTATATATATTTTTAAAATTTATATTTTCACGAACATTTTCAATCAAAAGAGAAAGAGAGAGAAATATGTGTGTTAAAATATAAATTTTATTATTATTCTATAAATCGAATTCGCTATTTTTTTCATTGCAAACTCGATAGTTATGTAAATAGCTATTTGTTTTTTTATTCATTTTATTTTTGATACAAAATCATTCTGCGTCAAATATGCCTGTTATATTGTATTTGTATTTGTATATGTTCATTTTGGCGATTCTGCAAGTGGCGTTTAATTGGAATTTGGGCTCTCCGTTTCATTTCCGTTATGCTGATCGACTGTAATTGATAACAATCAAATAACGTCGAACGGCAATTGTGAAAATTTAATTTTATGCAAACGTGAGATAAAGTCTTCTTCAATATACCGAGTTTCCTTGAACATTCAGTGAATAAAGCGCGAAGAGTTGTTCTCAGTTATTACTAATACAATTTGTACTTCATTTGAAAGCGAAGAATGTACTTCTTTTCTTTGAAACGATTGAAAAAATTTACTTTCCTTTGCAGACACGAGTTTCTTTTCAAATATGTTTTCAAATATAAAATATAAGAAACCGATCTTCATCAAATAATAATTTAATAATGATTTTTTGTATGATTATATTTTTGATACGTTTAACATGGTAAACATAAACTACAGTAACATTATAATGATATTAATAATTTCCCATTCAACAACATAAATGAAGGTAATATAAACACATGTTGTGCATAACAATTATATTGTGATTAGGAAATTATAATATTGATGTGAGATATTGTTGCTTGATGTTTACCAGGAATCAACATTTTTCCAATATTTTAAACTCGACTGTGCTTTCTCAGGATATAGCAATAATCTTCACAATGCCACGAGAGGTGCGTGATTAGAACTCAAGGTGTTAAGGGTATCTTCAGTTAATAGGCATTTCTGACGTATCTTGCAACTTACCCGGCACTGTTGAGAGGAGTATCAAACAAACCGCCAAGCCACTCATCTTCACTGATGGATCTGTTGTCTCATACAACGCCAGCTGGCTTCAATCTCGTATCGATGATATTTTAACGTTTCCGCTGTTTCATCAGCCCAATTTAATGCAGGAAGGAAAAAAATCTGATTTCCTTCACAACCCTTTTCCTGTTTTTCTTTAAATTACTGCTCGCCCTACTGATTTCATATGAATCATTAGATAAGTTGTTGGACAAAGATAAAACGTTTATACACAGATTTTTATGCGTAGTTATTTCGACGACATAAGTTTGGACGTTTCTTTTTATAGCATCGTAACGGTGAAAGAGAGAGAGTTGAATGTCCGCTAACGCGTACTTCCGAAGTCTATTTTTCGAGAAGTAAGTAAGAACCCAGCAAATGGAAACTGACAGTAATATTACATTACTGATATAATTTAATTCCTACTCAACAACTAAATATAATATAACGCATATTGTACGTAACAGTTATATAACTAAATGTGGAAAATTATAACAATGTTGTAATATTACTATTAGTTGACAAATGCAAACCAACAGTAACATTACATTACTGATATAATTTAATTCCTACTTGACAATATAAATATAACACATATTGTACGTAATAGTTATATCATTGAATGGAAAATTATAACATTAATGTAATATTAATTGGTCGAAGAGAGAATCATGGAATTGCGTTTGCTGGAAAGTGATTAAAATTTAGCGTGAAACATTTTAATTTATTTTTTATAAAAAATTTTAATAAAAAGTTAATTGATAAATTTTATTGTATAAATCTTTTTTTGGTACGTCTGCGTTTTCCTACAAAGATACTTTAATATGATAAGAATTTAGTTCTTTTATGGAATCGTCAAGGGATGAAATAAAACTTTTGACTATGTCTTCTGTACGACGCTCGCTTTTACGGAATGACGCGGATCTGTACTGCACTGTTGAGCCCAACGGCGTCGGGGGAAGCTTATCTCGCGTCGTCAGGGAAGCGGCAACGCGGCGAGTACCACGCGGATGCTGTGACTGACGCCGGTTACACGCTGCACGCCAAGCACACGGGACCAGTTCGAGGACCGAGTTAGACTGAACGCAAGTCCGTGATTCTCTCTTCGAGTTCTCTCAGCCCTACCTAAGGTACAAGGCGTACTGGGTATGGTACACGAACTCGCCCGCCTCCCTGTGAATAACGTTTTCTTCCATCATTAGCCGTACACATAAATATACACACGCACACACGAGTGTGTGACACACACTCGCGTGTACGGATGATCGATGTGTGTTGCGTGTATCCATCCGAAAGTGGGATCGTCAAAGTGAAAATGAAATCATCGGTATAGACTGTCGGACTTGATTCGTTGAAATTTTATCAGGAGAGGAAATTGGGGAGTGTAATATTTCATAAAGAGCGTCATCCTCATCAGAGCTTCATAGATCTGAAAAATTGAAATTACATCAATCAGCGTGAAAGAATATTAGGCAAAATTCTAATTTCTTTAAAAAAGACTAGATTCCCGAAAAACATTAATGTGACTCTATTAGTTTTAGAACAAGGCTTATTCTAAAATCTAATATTATCATTAAATTATATTATCTAATATAATTATTATAAAATCTAATTAAATTATTATATATACTGTGTTATATAAACTACATATATTATTGTATTTTATATTACATTTTGCACTAATTCTTCTACGTGCTGTAATTTAAACTACTTCCAAAGCAGAACAACAAGCCACGATAACATTAATAACATTAAAATAACATTAAAATGAACCAGAAATTGAAAAATGACTTTTAATGATCATTTTGGAGTCATTTTGACATCATAATGACTTGTTGTTCTGTTTAGATTTCTATTATTATCATTTCAATTATTTTATATGAATTTTTTATAACTACGATAAAAAAATAATTTGGAAAGTAACACAAATAAATTAGTGTAAAATAGCCAAATAAAAATAACACATTTTTTAGTTGTCTTCCAATATGTGATTTTTTGTAAACGATAGTTATCGTGCAACTATGTTTTTCGAAAGATTGAAAAGGACGAGTGCGGTAGAAAAATATGTTATCAGTAAAATTACATGTTTTTCACTGTGGATGGTTATTGAATTCCGCGTTGAAAAAAATACTTTTGCATCTCACTGGCGCGCGAAAATTTTAATTCATTACTCACCCGAACACGCGCGCCACAAATAATTGTAGAATGCAACAACTGTAACAATTACGACGATCGCTTTTATTTCGTCCACAAACATAAGATGAGATCTGTATCGATAACGAACTTTCGGTTCTTTCAAATGAAGTATTTATTCTCATCTTCTCTATTGAATTGCTTTTTGTGTCACGATATTATTAAATAGTTATTGTGTAATTGAAATCATCTATATTTTTATTTATAAAAATATTTTTTCTATTATAAGTAAAAATATGCTTATAAAAATTAAATTATAATTAAATTGTTAATTTTTTTTATAAAGATTTTTTAATATTATTATTGTTGAATGGTTTTTATGTAAGAGTAATTACCACGCATCTTTTTATGTGCAAAAACAGATTTATTCTAAATAAAAATGTATTTTTAAAAATTGAATTAATAAAATTCTCCTCAACAACTTTTTTTACAATATTATATTAAATACTTTTTAAGAGAAACCATCTAATTTTTTACAATAAAAATTCTATTATAAAAATAAATTTTTATAAAAATTAAACTGTTAATTTTCTTGTACAAACAATTTTTTATGAAATTATTGATTTCAGATAAGAAAAAAAAATTTTTTTATCTATCAAAAATTTCTTTTATTAAAAGTCTATTTGCAAAAATACAATTGTTAAAATAAAAATTTTCGTTATATTGATGCAATTAATTATTTATATATTTTGTAAAATTCAAGTTTAAATCATTTTTATAAAATTATTTTCTAATTTCCAAAATCTCAGACAAATTTTGATTTAAAAATATTATATTTTAAATTCTTCAGAAGAAAGTAATATTAATACACAAATATAACCTTTCATTTCATTTATATCAAACATTTATATAAACTCAGCACGTTTTTATAATTTTGTTTCTGTCTTCTAAATTGCATTGTTACTTACAGAAAATGAAGTCCATGTATAATTGAATATACTGTATAAATATATATGAATGTCAGCATTATATTGAACTCGAGTCCGTGAATTTGCTAGCAATAAGCGCAAACAGTGCGGATCAGTTATTCTCACGGAAAAAAGACCTAGTGGCGCCATCAGTTGGTAATAAAGAAAAGTTATCATGAAAAATTTGCTATTGCGAATGTTTTTCAGATAGTTTTTATAAATTGTTGACAAGTGTATTTATTTCAAAACGAAGACTAAACAAAGACTAATCTCTTAAGACTAACTCTTTTATCATGAAAAGAAAGATATATAGTCTATTTTTTCAGTTGAATAAAAGGAAGAAAAACCTCAATAGAAGTTCAACTAAACAATCATAAGTATAAATATTCACTACTTTGTTAAATTATTTATTCGTTTATAACTTTCATTAAAAAGACTAAAGTACATACAAAGTTCATGTAAAAAGTTCTCTTATTAGAAATAATACTTTAATCAAGTTCAATCTATATAAATAATAAACACATTCAAGAAAATTTTAGGTAATAAAAACACAATGTTAATATATTGATTATTGATAGTTTTATTATAAGGAATCAGACGATTATAGAAAACAAGACATTATTAGCATGTAAAATTAATTTCTTTATTCATCATTTCCTACGAAAGATTTGTATACGCGAATTAATAAAATTAAAACTCAGGTAATAGAATTTATAATATAATTAAACAATTTAATACAATGCGACGCTTTAGTAGAGATCACAATGGAATCAGACATCTCCGCCTCTAAGTCGAAGTACAAGGTGAAGTGTAGATTCTTTCTGAATATTATAGTCTGATAAAGTCCGTCCATCCTCTAGCTGCTTGCCCGCGAAAATCAGTCTTTGTTGATCGGGAGGAATGCCTTCTTTATCCTGAATTTTCGCCTTCACGTTTTCGATCGTGTCTGAAGCCTCGACCTCCAGCGTAATAGTTTTACCAGTGAGAGTTTTGACAAAAATCTGCATACCACCGCGAAGCCTCAAAACCAAATGCAATGTGGATTCCTTCTGAATATTGTAGTCAGAAAGTGTACGCCCGTCTTCAAGTTGTTTTCCGGCGAAGATCAACCTCTGCTGATCCGGTGGGATACCTTCCTTGTCCTGAATTTTAGCTTTGACATTCTCGATCGTATCTGAAGCTTCGACCTCCAGCGTGATAGTTTTACCAGTGAGAGTTTTGACAAAAATCTGCATACCACCGCGAAGCCTCAAAACCAAATGCAATGTGGATTCCTTCTGAATATTGTAGTCAGAAAGTGTACGCCCGTCTTCAAGTTGTTTTCCGGCGAAGATCAACCTCTGCTGGTCCGGTGGGATTCCTTCTTTGTCTTGAATTTTGGCCTTGACATTCTCAATAGTGTCTGACGCCTCAACTTCCAATGTGATAGTCTTTCCTGTCAGAGTTTTGACGAAAATTTGCATACCACCACGTAGACGAAGGACCAGATGCAAGGTAGATTCCTTTTGAATGTTGTAATCAGAAAGTGTACGACCGTCTTCAAGTTGTTTTCCGGCGAAGATCAACCTCTGCTGGTCCGGTGGGATTCCTTCTTTGTCTTGAATTTTGGCCTTGACATTCTCAATAGTGTCTGACGCCTCAACTTCCAATGTGATAGTCTTTCCTGTCAGAGTTTTGACGAAAATTTGCATACCACCACGTAAACGGAGAACCAAATGCAATGTGGATTCTTTCTGAATATTGTAGTCAGAAAGCGTACGGCCGTCTTCAAGTTGTTTTCCAGCGAAGATCAATCTCTGCTGATCTGGGGGGATTCCTTCTTTGTCTTGAATTTTGGCCTTGACATTCTCGATCGTGTCTGACGCCTCAACTTCCAACGTGATGGTCTTTCCTGTCAGAGTTTTGACGAAAATTTGCATACCACCACGTAAACGGAGAACCAAATGCAATGTGGATTCTTTCTGAATATTGTAGTCAGAAAGCGTACGGCCGTCTTCAAGTTGTTTTCCAGCGAAGATCAATCTCTGCTGATCTGGGGGGATTCCTTCTTTGTCTTGAATTTTGGCCTTGACATTCTCGATCGTGTCTGACGCCTCAACTTCCAACGTGATGGTCTTTCCTGTCAGGGTTTTGACAAAGATCTGCATTCCACCACGCAATCTGAGAACTAAATGGAGAGTGGATTCCTTCTGAATATTGTAATCAGACAAAGTACGTCCATCTTCCAGCTGCTTTCCGGCAAAGATCAAACGCTGCTGATCAGGTGGGATACCTTCCTTATCCTGGATCTTTGCTTTTACATTCTCAATAGTGTCAGAAGCCTCAACTTCAAGAGTTATGGTCTTCCCCGTCAATGTCTTCACGAAAATCTGCATGGTGCTCTACAATAAAATTTCACGTTGTATGGACGGTTATCTTTTAATCATATATATATGTAAATAAATCAATTCTAATTATTTATAAAATGAGAATACCTCGGAGAACACCGATAAGTTGTACAAGTATAAATGTAGACAGATTTAAAAAAAAAAGGATAAACCGCATTCACCTTTACAGATAAGCCATACACAAAATTATATTAATCACAAAAATGAAAAAGCTGGCTGTTTGCAGATCAAAGCTGCTTACAAGACGCAGTAAAATCAAGGGCCGCCATTTTGGTTGGTTTTTAGTTGCTCGTCATTGCTCGTTACCAAGCGTATGACGCCATGTTACCCAAGAAAACGTAATAACAGATATTGCATTAATTCTACGGCTTTTTGCTCATTTCCTACATGCCTCTCACGCTGATGCAGATACAAAACGACTTTTCGATTAGATTTCGAAATGTACCGATTCAATAAAAAAAACACCAATCAAAATCTTCCGCCTAGCAACAGAGCCAACAGTCTCGAAACGATCAATAATGTGCGCGTATAGAACATACATTTGGAAATGACTCTTACAAATATTCGAAATGTTTCTTATTAAACATAGCGTGTCAATGGCTATCGGACAAATATTCTATGATTATCATCATTACTATCCATGCCTCGTTTGCACAAATAAATTGACTTTTAGGCCAAGGACAAAAATTTCAAAATCAAAAATTAGTATATCGACAAGTATAATAAACATACCTTTTGTTTGAAAGCTTCTCGCTATGTGTAATTTTCACGTAAGACGACTTAACAACTGTCGTGGAATAAACACTCTTCTCTGCTCAAACTCACAATGACTATTGAAACAGCCAGCCTCGCCAGCCTTGCTTTTATACCACGAAATCATGTATGACTGCGAATGACGCATGCTCGTATCCGATTGGCCGAAGAGCGTAGACGATGCAACTGATTGGCTCGCTAGCGAACGTCACTGATCGATATGACGTGAATATGCGGACTGACGCAGATCTCGCGTATCGACCTGGCAACAATGGCAATAAAGAACACTCTAGACTCCAGATTCTAGAATGTTCTTTGTTGCTATTATTGCCAAGTCGATATGCGAGGTCTACGTCGGACAGAATTACGGAGCTTATGTGATCGTCCTTCTATCATTTTCTTTGGAGGCGACAGCTAATAAGTAAAAAAAAAAAGAATTATGGAGAATATTCGAGAATCTAGTCTTGATATTCTGCATCATTCTCTCAGGTTCTCCGTAATGCTAGTGTTATATATTATGTACAGAACGCTGCAAAATAAATCACCTCATTTTAAGGAATCATATATTTTTGATGGGCTATGAAAGAATAATATGAAGTATATTTTAAACGTATATCCTGAGAATGATCTAATTAACGTATATACGCCAGAAATAACAATTTAATTATTAATAATTCAGTTATTGGCGAATTTCGTCGATAATCCGGAAATCGAGAGTTTAAACTGTGTACATAATTTGAAGACCAATTCGTCGATTTAAGATTTCATAGACTACAAGTACATAATCGAAAAGTACGAACAAATTGTTTTGTGAATATTGAACGTGTAATGTTTAACAGAAAATTGAGAGAGCAAGCATTTGCGAGCGTATTTAAGGCGATTATTTATAAAGATTTCTGATAATTACAAAAATCAAGTTTTAATTGCTGTTTAGAATTTGCGTTTTTATGAATTTATTTTATTTTCTCAAGTATAATGAATTAATTATTCATGTGAGGCGATTAATTTTACAGCACCCTGTACATACATCTGTCCTCATTTATCAGAAACCGAAACAGTTATAATTTCCTGTTTGAGCTCAGCTTTCAAAAATGATGCTCACGTTTATTCCCAACAATATTCCTTCTCTAAATAAATAAATACGACGTTGATGACGCAAAATGATGCATTCCCTAAATATAAGTTGATTATTAAAAAATGTTCTTGTCAAAAGATATTTGTGGCTGAGCACAATGCACTACTCCTTTATTAAAAATAAATATTCAGGAACAAAACGGTTTCGATGGATACTGGATGCTCAACAAACATTCATGTTGTTCGGGTATTTTTTTTTTATCTAAGATTTCTATTTTCGCTTTTCATTGTACAAATCGACCTCGCAAAATTTAATTCGCAGAATTGCCGAGTCATAAGCATAATGTCGCAATTTCAATGACTCGCAGACTGATGCAATATTAACCGTGCACGAAAATAAGGTAGAAACAAGATAAATAACACGATATATATCATATATTAAGATTATTCTCGCATAATATTCATTTTTTTGTTTCCGAAGTAAAAAACCATGCTCTTTAAAGAATATTTTTCTCTTGTAAAAATAAACCAGTTTAAAGTAAGAATTTTATAAAACGCGTGACTATCAGAATACTAAAATATATATATATGTGTGTGTGCGTGTATATATATATATGATAAAAATTATAGAAGTAAATAATTCATCAAGTGTCGACTAATGAAATTATAAATATTCTGATGAATATATTTGCTCGCTTTTGTAAATTTTATTTTATTTTAGATACATAATCGACTTGCACATTCGAAAAATAACTAAAAAATAAATCGCGCGTGCACACTATTGCACTTTTATTTTTAAATTCGAATTACATTCGTACATATTACTTGAGTTTTTCGTGAATAAAATATTGAAGTTGGAAAAGGAAAGGAACAGTAATATCAAGGAAACTGTTTTTTCAATCAGAAGTATCAACAAGTTCACAGTTGCGTCGTACACATGTTTGTTTTATTCAATGATCATTCAAAAAAAAAACAGAAAATCTACACAAGTCAGAATAAATTCACTTAAATGAGGTAATGTCTAAAAATTGAAACGTCAAAGTTTTAACTCGACTCGCTTGAAATTCTGTAAATGAAACTAATTTATAGTATTGTGTTAAAAAAATGTTAACACGTGCACTTTCTTCGCATTGGATAATCATCAAGCATCCAAATCATCGAGTTATAAATATATTGGCGCTATTTTCTGCGTGAGTCACATACGTGACAACAGCATATATCGTAAATGGTTGTCACTTTGTGCAAAGTGAGTGAGTGAAAGAGAGAGAGAGAGAGAGAGAGAGAGAGAGAGAGAGAGAGAGAAAGGATATAGTATTTCCTACACGTACTGACTACACACACAACATACACACAAAATCTCAATACAATCTATTGCCTACTCTTTAACTTCAAACTTATAAACGTTCGTCGTCGTCTTACTACACGTTCATTTGAATTCTTGTTTGTGTATCTTTCATATCCGATAAATGATTAATCAGCTGATAATTTAGCTGATTTAAATTCCGTGAACGCGTCCGTCAGTTTCATCGAGACAAATCTAATATCAGAATCAACAGAATCCTATTCATCTGAAAAAATTAGCGATCAACTCAAGCTTTCCTCAATAATAACGCTACCTTCGTTTTGTGACACGCTTATTACAGATTAAATACATCGTAGGAAATAAATCCATTGCTATAAAGTAAACTCACAATAGAGACGTAGAGACAAAGAGCGCCCGCTATTGCAGTTTAATAAACGCGTCTTATATCTTTTTATAATCTTATCATTTTTCAGATTGCGCATATTCTAAAAATCATGACAAGCATCAGCCTAGTTTCAAATTGTCCTTATTCCGAAGACATCTCTCCTCCTAAACAAGCAACTGACACGGCGGGAAAAGAAACTGCTTCCTTATACTAGATAAGTTAATAGATAATTCGTATTGCAAATACGAATCTTTTGGTAGATCTTCTACTTGGAATCTGTTTCCATTTTGATCTCTTCCGCCTTTTTATCTTTCTTCGAAGCCTCGCTATCGGTACCTTCTCCGTTGCTGTTATCGCGTCTTCGTTTTCGAGCGAATCGTCCCTTGAATTTCGGCGGCGGCAATTGCTCCATACCTAGGACTTTGTGAATCTGGCGGAATGCCACTAATCGTAAAGCGTGTTGCGCCGACGAAGTAATATCTTCTCTCTGTTGGGACGTCATGTTTCCTATTGCATCAACTGGCTCTTTCTCGCATGGATCGGATAAGCCTAAAACGAAAAGATTATGAATCAACATTGATTTCCGTATGTTATCTTTCAGTATGTATCAGTACAGCTAAAATTTTTATCAGATTGCCATATCATCTGCGCGTATCGCGGAAGATATGATTATGATACAGGAGAACAAAATACTTGTACTCGAGTTCAAAAACCAACTCCACAATACGCTCAGTCTCGTCATCTTTTTCATCATTTGAAGATAAGAAATTAAATTATCGAAACATGATATGACAAAATAAATTTTAGAAATTACCTGGACTACCCGGTAACAATATTCCTCCAGCTACGCATTCCAAAAGTCTTCTTAAGGCTTCACCCGGACTAAGAGGACCTCCCGCGGTGCTAATCACTTTCTCAGTCAATAATTCCAATGCCTGTATATATTGAAAAACGTAGTATCGAGAATCGAAAAATCGTGAGAACAGGCGAATAATTAATGGGAGTAATTAATATGTCGCGTATACTAACCCAAGGATTTAACGGACCCCATGTTGGCACACGATTACACAGGTCGCGCATTATACGGATAACCATAACACAGCTCTGCAGCGAGGTAGCTCTAGCCTGTTGAACAGGATTAACATTTTAAAATCTACGATTTAATATACGTAATAGATGCACTGGCTCTTCTGGAGATAAGACAGCCTAAACTATCCTTCGATTGCTTTGTGTGGGCTTTAGCTATCCTCCCAGCCTCGTGCCTAGTGCCCCTAATAGTATTAGCCCATATCAATATTACCGGGTGTTTATCGATTACTCTTTCCTAGACGTTAATACCTGTCGCAATAATTAAAAAAAAAAGCCATAATTCATGTGTTTCAAGGAAAACTGTGCACATCTTATAGAACAACTTTAAAACTCGACTCTAATCTACAGAAACACCCGGTACACTTATGACGCGCTACTGTGTGTTTGTGCTTGTCTGTCTCTTTTAATCTCCAAAGCTGTGCAATTAACGCACATGAAATTGTTACAATACAAAAATGGAACGAAATACATAATCTCACAAAAGCTGTACTGATGCTATATGTCGATTTGCTTTCAAGTTAAGACAGACCTAGAACAGACGCAGCCTAGGCTACAACGCATTAAGGACGATCCAGAATAATGAATTACGCTTGATCGTAAGGCAATCGAGGTCTGCGTTAGTAAAGAAAATAAAGAAAATCACATTCATTCTAAGAATATAAATGAATTATACTCGAATTGCGACGTCTCGCAGTGCAGTTCCTATTATTCTGGATGTTGAAGATTTAAAGCAAAGCAGATGTAAATGCATCTAGCAGCATTTTCGCGTGACTGTCGAGATACACATTTACATGTTGCTTACTTGCAAGATTTCTTGCCTGATATATCTGATCGCATGTTCGATGTATGATTAGCTTTCTCTTCCACGTACGGACGATGCCACTGTTATTTTCGGAACTATTTTTATTTCGGACCGTTCTAAATTATGGTATGGCCATAAACGGTGGTAATAAACGTGGTCCGAAACGTAAATGTAAAATCTAAAACTCCGAAGAGGGTACAGTGGACAAAGCCGACTTGGTGTGTGTTTAAAAATTCAGCGGATATAGAAACGGTGGACATCGAACGTGATCAAATAAGCAATTCAGACAGAATCATGTCAACGACAGGTCGGTTAATGATAAAAAATAAAACCGTCACAAGGCTGGAAGTTTCTAAGACTGCTTTTTCTCTTTTTCTTTCTTTTTTGGTTTGATTAAAATTGTTTTAAGAGAGAGAGAGAGAAAGGACAATTTGCACG